TATATATATCTGTGTGTGTCTATACATATATACATATACATATACATATACATATACATATACATATACACCCATGCGTAGTCGCATAGCCTAGCCTAGCATAGCATAGCACAGCATAGCATGGCAGACATCCATACATGCATACATGCATGTCACAATGCATGTCTCTTTACTTGCTTATCCACATGTTCCTTTGCAATGTGCATCCTTTTGTAGTTGGTTGTCTAAACCCAGAAACCTGTATACCATTGGGCAGTTTCTTTCTGCGTGTGTGTGTGTGTATGTTTTTTCATTCGCTTAGCTATCAATTTGTTTGTGCATCTTCTATTTTATCTGCCTATATTCATTCACGTAAGTACTTATTTATTGGTTTGTCGATCGTGCCTTGTAATTTGTCGCTTTCGATTGTAGGTTTACTAATGAGAACTTCCACATGTCTACACGCAGTAAAAGATTTGTGAGTTTCCTTTCTGGGATTTCGATGCTCATACTTCTATACAGCTGTCTGTTTATTCACAAACAAACATAGATACACAGGCTCTCTAATTTGTTTACGTTGTTCAAATGTCCATACCTTACCAGCATAATGCACACTATCTATCTATCTATCTACCTGTCTGTCTGTCTACCTTCTGTCCAAAACATTCTGACGAACGTTTTAAGATGATGAGGATGATCGGGATCATGGTACAGTACTGACTCATGACGGTGATGATGACGATGATGGTGGGGATGCTGATGATGGTGACGATGATGGTGATGGTGATGACGATGGTGATGGTGATGGTGATGAGGATGGTGATGATGATAATGCTGATGATGATGGTGGTGGTGGTGATGATGGTCCTGGCGATGATGATGGTGATGCTGATGATGATGATGATGATGATGATGATGATGATGACGATGACGATGACGATGAAGATGATGATGATGATAAAGACAATGATGTGGCGATCTCATAGGCTTTAGGACTCATGATCAGGGGCTTGCGAGATTGCTGGATTTGTTTGTTCGTGCTTCTGCTTGTGCTACGCTGCTTCCTGGCGATGAGAAGAGTCGGCATTCTGACTAGGAGTGTAGTTGCTTCACTTCTTCATCCGAGACTGGGTCTGTGCTCCAACATGTGCGGACGCGTTCTGTGCACGATCGCTTGCAGTCGGGCTGTAGCTGTATGCGAGTGGAATCTACAGACAAGCCTATTCCAAACAAGCATGACGTGGCTGCGATCATCATACCATCGATAGTCGGGTTAGTGAAAGTCTCTGTGCCGGTCATGGTGCTTCTCCTGGCACTGATGATAATAATAAAGATGAAAGCTGAAAAGCACTAGCACAATATATGGGAGAGTCAACAACCAACACCGCGAACCACACAAACACCGAAGATAATGACAAGAACAAGCAATATTGGCAACAACGGAAAATGTGCTAAGCAAAAGAGGTGTACGATGAGACTCACAACGATACTGGTAATGCTCAAGACCATGGACGCAACAAGTGCAAGAATCACAAGCCTGGCTGTACAGCGTCATGCTTGGGCGCCAGAGTCCAGAGCAACAATCCGCAGGGATTTGTCGCACTTGATTGCAATGTATTGTACTAGCACAGACCTCTTGTGGAGTAGCGTGGTGCCCTGGACCTCAAATTCCGTGGCCCGGCCGGCGCAGTATTGCTTACGCCGTTCAAACTTACACTACTTAATGCTCCGGAGGCGTACCGGTCCTGTTTGCTAGGTTCAATGAAACCGCAAATGGGTCAAACTTTCGCCTACCGCAGCATTGAGGCTGGGAGTGAAAACAATATCCATAGACTAGCTGAAGGGACAGCTGTTCATACTTTTATGAACCCAGCGATCTCTTGCTGAAGCAGCAATGCAGGGGAAAATTGCAACACAGGGCTGTGCCTTTCGGGTTACTTGAACGCCACACTCCGTGAAAGTAAATCCCAAACCTCAACCCCGGAGTCCGAACCTTCAACACCGACGCGCCCTCAACCCCACATCCCTAGACCATGTAAAGCCCTACGACTATGAAAACTTTATGGTCCCCAAGAACCTGATGAAACCCCATAAAAACCGATAAACTCATGTAAAACCCTCTAGCCTATGGCTGCCCGAGCCCTACTTTTCCTGGACCCAGGAGTAACCTAGGAATGAAAAGGGTGCCCTTTTTGGTTTTAAGGGGATTATAAGGGAGCCCCAACCCTAAAAAAGGAAATAAGGGCCTACTCCGGGTCCTAGTTTCAATTCCTTGACAAGAGCGCACAGTTCGGGGAACAAGGGCTTTCAAGGCCGCGGAGCGATCGGACACCGGCTGACGCAGCTGCCCTAGGATGTACCTCAAGCTATCTTTAGGGTTTAGGGTTTAGGGTTTAGGGTTTATCAAGGTACAGGATAAGGAGTTTAGGGAATGGGCTTTAGGCTTTAGGGTTTTTTTTAAACACCTTTTTCCACCTAGCAGTCAAGGTCGGCAGGCTTTAGGGTTTAGGGTTTAGGATTTCAGGTGCGGGTGTAGTCTTACGGGTCACCAACTGGATGCCACAGCCAGATTGAGGTCCTGGAAACTTAAGATCGCCGCCAACCATGAAACAGCCCCTAAAGAGCCCCGATCCTTGGGAAATTGGAAGGCGGGCCTTGGGTTTAGGTTGCAGACCGAAACATCACCGGAAGCGACGTTGGCAGATCTTTCCCGAGCAAATACCCCTTACCATTAACAATCACAAACTTGACAACTGCTGCCGTCGCTCGGACTGCGACCACGACGACAACGATTACTGCTGCTACTACTCCTCCTCGTCCTCCTCCTGCTGCTGCTGCTGCTCCTGCTACTGCCACTGCCACTGCCACTGCGACTGCGACTGCGACTGCGACTGCTACTGCTGCTGCTACTGCTACTGCTACTGCTACTGCTACTGCTACTGCTACTGATGCTGCTACTGCTACTGATGCTGCTACTGCTACTGCTATAACCACCGCCACCAAGAATCTCGCTGACTCAACCTACTACTTCATTGCGGCATCATTCACCTCTACCACTACTGCTGTCACTACAACTGCCCTTGGAATTGACACGCACGCGGGGACCTTCAAGAATAGCAAACCAAATACAAAAAAAACTAAAAAACTGAACTCGCAGGATCTTGCAAGATCCTCATGTTCAACCAACGGAACCGCATGTTCACTATAGCGGCCCTCATTTGCAATAGTGTCTTGAGGTTTCTATACTAGAACATGATCTAAGGAAGCCTCAGGAACACTATCTGCCCGCAGGAGCACACAGAGGGCTTCACCAGGAAGTACGCATCCAGCGCCATGCTTCCAGACTCCTAGCACAAGGGGGAACCCCCAGAGGGTTTTGGGGTATGTTATACTATGTCTATAATGAGGAACCTCCAACATAGTACTGGTAGGTATTCAGGCCCCTGTATTAGGGGCCTAAACCCTAAACCCTAGAGTTTCCGACATTCGTGTTCCTTTGTCTCCACCTCGGCTAAACTCCTAGACCCTCAAGACCTCTTTGTGTGAGTCCCTGAAATGAAGTAATGGACACCACCTTGAGGTGTCCCAAATGGCAACACCAGACACAACCCTAAACCCTAAACCCTAGACTGTGAACATCTCAATGGAGCAGGGTTGCTAATTTCGGCTGAACTCAGAGACCCTCGAACCTGCCATCAAAGGAAACGGTAAAGAGCCCCAAATGATCCAACGCCGTGAACCCTAAACCTTAGACCCTAAACACTTAACTCAAGAAGACAAACACCACTTAAAATCTCATGAACTGCTGGAATCCCCTGCAATGTCCTCCTTAGAATACTGCACAAGAAACATGTTGGTGTGCACTTGCAACAAGGCAGTGTTGCTATAATTGCAAAATCTCCTTTTGCGTACTATTGGCCCGGCTCTGTTGACAATCTTACAACTCAAGAACCCTAAACACTAAACCCTAAACCCTAAACCCTAAACCCTAAACCTGAACACTAAACCCTAAACCCTAAACCCTAAACCCTAAACACTAAACCCTAAACCCTAAACCCTAAACCCTAAACACTAAACCCTAAACCCTAAACCCTAAACCGAACCACATCAAAGGTGACGATAGATGGCCGCCGGGGTTCGAAGATCGTGTCCCCTGCCGCCAGCCTTGACCACCCAGAGAGCCCAGGGTATAGGGTATAGGGTTTAGGGTTTAAGCTTGAGGCTTTAGGGTTTAGGGTTTGGCACCCCGAAACGCGGATCTTTGGTTTGAGAGTCTCTCTTTGTGTGTTTTTTTATAGCACCTCCCGTCTTCCCGGGAGGAGGTCGGAATGCCAGGTTGGCTGAGGCTTTGGACACTTGGAGGATCATGGGACTTAGCAAGTAGGGTTATAATTAGGGTAATTATACTTATAACCCCAATGAGGGGACTTAAAACCTTACTTACTAAGTCACATGATCCTCCAAGCAGGCAGCCCAACTTCCTTGCATTTCAGGGCCTTCGGGCTGCAGGGCTTGGAGGGTTTAGGGTTTAGGGTTTAGGGTTTAGGGTTTAGGGTTTAGGGTTTAGGGTTTAGGGTTTAGGGTTGGTGGCAATAGGATTCAGGACGCCTTATTCTCCAGAGCTTGGTGACCAGGCACAAGTGGATCATCCCTACACCCTGAACCCTAAACCCTAAACCCTAGGTGATTTAGGCAAGTACAGCTGTGCACAGGTCCCTAAACCCTACACCCTAAAGCCTAGACCCCACCAACTGCGCTCCTTGATTTGCTTCTTAGGGAAGGAGGCTTCAATGGGTGTTGCGATGTTTTGGTGCTTCTTGGGGAAGGGCGATGCAGCGCCAAGATTACCAAACTGAGCCCTAGACCCACGGGACAAAACTTAAACCCTCAAACCCCATTTATGTACATATATATATATATATGTATGTATATATATATATATAGCTAAGCAGTCCAGGTTACAAGCGCTGCGACAGAGCTTGAGAGAGCTGCCGCGTGGCATCGGAGTTCCTTGGGAGGGATGCAGGGACCCTTACTTACAGGTTCTTTACGGGTTTAGGGCTTAGGGTTTAGTCGGGGTTTAGGGTTTAGAGTTTAGGGTTTGCACACGGTTGTGGGAGCTTGGGTCCAGGAGGATTTCAACAATTCGATCTTGGGATTTGGGTATCGAGAGCAAAACGAGGAATTGAGGGTTGCGGGTCTACAAAGTTTCAAAATCAAGGTTCTGAAAATTGAGGTTGAGGAGCTTGGAGTCTACGGCTTAGGTATTCATGTCCAGGGGGTCTGTGGTGTGTGTGTGGGTGTGCGTGTTATTTCGTGTTATTATATGCAAGGACGAGGGGCTGAGTTTTTGGGATTTGTCGGTTCAAGTCAAGGGTGCGTGCGGTTGGCTCGGTTCGAAGTCTCAAACCCCCCATGTAAGCTGGTGGCGACAGTGTCTGGGTGGTGGCAGCAGCGGGTGCTGGGAATGGCGAGGATGAGCATGATGCAAAAGACGATGGCGCTGACGGCACGGCGGACACCCTCATGAGCGTGATCACGATAGGCATTCGGACCAAAACCATAACCACAACCAATGCCGAACATCGGTTGATGCCATCAGTACTAGATCCGTAGTTGCTGACTACTCTTCCTGCTAATTACAAACTCGTGGCAGCAAACTCGGTGGAATTGGCAATAGCTGCGTGCGCGGGGGCATTGGTGCCAGTTAGTAGTACAGCAGGAGCAGCAGCAGCAGCAGCAGCAGGAAGCATTACGACAGATAGCCACATTGAAAATCACGATGACTGAGCAATCAGTAGGCGAATATCGTGGCAACAAAACCAACATCGCAGAATACATGTTCAATCTACAGATCACAAAAGTACTGCGTCGGTATGCCACTCTGCCCCAAAGCCTCGACTCAGAGCCCTTCCCAGCACGAGGCGCAGGTCATCGCTGACGCTGCACCGAGACAGTGAGCGGACGAAGCCGATCTCCTGGCATTTCGTGTTCTCTGCGCATTCACAGTCCAAAAGCGTGACTACTATTGCTGTCATCGCCATCATCATCATCAGAAGGAACAACATCAAAATCGCATCGCTATCGTCATCATCATCATCATTAGCAGCTGCTGCAGCACCAGCACCACATCACTCGTCCTCTCTAGCAACTACATCACCAGCTGCAATCGTATCACACCTGCTTGTCCCGAAAACCCGCGAAAGACAAAAACGACACCCCGGATGCTGAATCCTAGACGCCTGACCCTGCCTGCCTCCCTCATCCGGAAACCCCGAAGCCCCCTATATAATTAGTACGATTCTTCCTGAGGGCTCCTCAACATAAGCAACGATCATACGCCGCCCCGAAGCCCGATTCTAACTATCAAGCCCTAAACCCCTAAACCCTAAAACCCCAAACCCCAAACCCCTAAACCCCTCTGCCCCTAAACCCCAAACCCTAAACCTGAAACCTTCAGACTTCGGAGCAGTTTCCGGGGAGCACCGAGGCTGTCAGTCGCCGGGTCTTGAGACCGACATGAAGGGTTCCGGATTAAGGGTAGTTCTTAAATCATCGTCCCCCTTTAGGGTTTGGGTTTAGGGTTTAGGGTTTAGGGTTTAGGGAAATCAGGGTCCCCTTTTAGGGTCCCTTTTATAAGGGTGCCCTACCATTTTGAAGGCCTCAACAGAAAGGGGACCCTCATGTGGAAAACTACCCATTATAAGGGTTTGCGGTTTAGGGCTTCGGGCTTGGGGTTCTTGGATTGGGGGGCAAGGGTTGGCTATCGGAGCAATGTTTCATAAAAGTCTGAGACAGCTATACAGTCAGAACATTATGCACAGCCCTAAACCCTAAACCCTAAACCCTGAACCCTAAACCCTAAACCCTACACCCTAAACCCTAAGCCCTAAACTGTAGAACAGCAGTCGCAGTAGCAGCACGAGTACTGCTGCCAACCGCCTTTCGTCCCAGGGGTTCAGGCGAATGAAACTCTTACTATAGGGGCCTAAATAAATAACTAGGGTTTTGGGGGTTTAGGGGTTTAGGGTTTAGGGTTTAGGGTTTAGGGTTTAGGGTTTAGCATAACGTAGCGGCCTTAGTAATTAGAATAGGGTTTGGGGGGTTCCTTTAAAGGGTTCCTCAAAGGGTTCTATAAGGGCTACTACAAGGAGTTAGGGTTAAGGGGCCTTAATAATTAGAATAGGGTTTTCTGGGTATATTATTATTATTTACACCAGCAGACTCAACAGAATTCCGGTCCCCAAGGGTGTGCTTGTACATCGCGTACCGCAGCTCACGCCACAGCGGCTTGGACAGGAGCCTCTTCGCCGGGTAAGCTCAGCCAAAAAGCAAGTAAAGTTGATGCAGCTGCCTCTACCACCAGTACCACCACCATCACTACTCCTACTGCTACTGCTACTGCTACTGCTAATGCTACTACTTCTACTACTACTACGAC